CTTTGGCAACGGATATTATAGCTGCAGGATGTCCCACGGGGTTGGGATCCAGCAGAACGCCCTGAAGTCTCCCCCCCATGCCTCCATTGGCGGCTTTCCCGTGGAAAAGTACATGGACGTCTCCAGTCTGACCAGCACGAGTGTCCCCGCCAATGAAGTCTCCACCAGGGCGAAGGAAGTGTCCTTCTACCAGGGCTATACAAACCCCTACCAGCACGTTCCTGGGTACATAGACATGGTCTCAACGTTTGGCTCTGGGGAACCGAGACACGAAACGTACATATCCATGGAGGGCTATCAGTCCTGGACTCTGGCTAATGGCTGGAACGGCCAGGTGTACTGTGCCAAAGATCAGACACAGAGCTCGCACTTCTGGAAATCGTCCTTTCCAGGTACGCGAGGGCGAGAACCGCTCCGAGCCGAGCCGCGCCCCCCGCGCCCTCCGCCGGCCGCCCCCCAGCCCTCCCCCGGAGCGGCCCGAGGCTCGGGGAGATCTCTCTTCCCCGGCCGCCCAGGAAGCCGCACCCCGCGGGGCACCCTGGCTGCGGTGCCTCGGGCTCCTTCTGCTTCTCCCGTCGCGCCTCGGTCTGTATTTCCGTTTGCGGGGCGGTGGCGCGGAGGCTCCTCCGCTCCCCGGCAGCCCGCTGACCCGGCCCCAGAGCACTTAAGAGGCCGCGAGCAGCGGGGTACGCCGGCGCTAACCACATGCAAACAAAGCGGGCAGCGTGCAGCAAAGGGCCGTCTGTACGCTCTGCCAGCCCCGCCGCGCTGCTCGCAGTGATGACAGTCCGTCAGGCTCGGGGCTGCCCAACGTGCGGCTAATGGGGCAGTGTAAATAATAATAAACTGTAAACAAGCCGCCGTTATTTATTTGCCCGTGAAAAGCAGCGCCCGACAAGTATCAGCTACCCTTTAAACGCCTGTCATAAAATTCTAATTTTTCACGTCGTGTCTTTTCCGTAGGGGACGTTGCACTAAACCAGCCCGAGATGTGTGTCTACCGGCGCGGGAGGAAGAAGAGAGTGCCCTACACCAAGCTCCAGCTTAAGGAACTCGAGAACGAATACGCCATTAACAAGTTCATTAACAAGGACAAGAGGCGAAGGATATCCGCGGCCACGAACCTGTCCGAGCGCCAGGTCACCATTTGGTTTCAGAACAGGAGGGTGAAAGATAAGAAAATAGTTTCCAAACTGAAAGACAACGTTTCTTGATCGATTACTCGCGGACAGTGATGGATATATAAAATCCGTTTATGACCAGCTGCGGACTTTTGGAAAGACTTGAAAATATATTTAATTTTTTTTTTTTTCTTCTCCTTCCAGCGGTGGCGAAGTTTTGTGAATTGTTTTTTATTTCCGTGAAAGTCGGCGTTTTTCTCTCGATCGAAGGGGAGCGCCGACAAACCTTGACTTTATCGTTCTGTTTCTTCCTTTTATAAAAAATAATATTAATATTAATTATATTTTCTATCCTTCCCTCTAGGCCAGTATAAACGAATTTAAATGTGTCGAACGGTTCCACTTATAACTTTCTTAAACGCTTAACTCTTTGGGGAGGGGACCTGTGATTTCTATCTCCAAACATCAGCCGGTGCCCAAAAGTGTCAGATTTGATTTGTTGTATCGTCGGAAAACTCGAGTAAGTGGCATTCCCGCAGTCACCGCTAGCAAAACCCACATCCCCGAAGTCCTCACTGGGCTCCGCGGATTTCGGAAGCAGCGGATCCGGAAGGGAATTGTTTGCAGTGGGATCGCTATTTTTATTTTTTATTATTTGATTATACTGGCGGGCGATCTGCTACCAGCTTTTCCTGGGGTACGGAGCGCGGCCCCAGCGCCTTTCGTTCGATCCGAAGGAGCCGCGATGCTCCACGCAGCAGCAGCCGGGTGTCCCTTCCGGCCGCCCCGTCCCGTCCCGTCCCGTGTTGCGCACGGACCTCCGTGCGGACCCCGCGCTGCGCTTAAAGCACTTCCCGCTCGGAGAAGTGAAATTCACCGCTAACTTTCAGTTTGCAAAACTAAACGGGTGTTAATGACAGAAGCAATAAATGATTCATTTCAAAAGATGCCATAATTTATGTAGGCCGAAAGGCCGGGAGTCGGTTGGGGTTTTGTAGTTTTAAACCTAGCGTGCATGTTATGCTATACACAGGGCGGTCAGCTTCTGGGAAAGAGAAGCGATGTCCTCCCTGTCCATGTGCCTCGTGTAATTATTAAATGGTGTGTGTTTCGATCTAGTATTATTTATTATAATATCCTATTGCTCTAAACGCTTTGATTTGCCGTGTGCGTGGTAATACATACAGTCAGACTATTTCTCCATAAACCATTTTTATTTCCCTTTTCGTCTCCAAGTCTGCTTTCACGTTGTGCTGGAAGTACGGTCTGAGCTTCCCAGCCGTTAACGATGTTGCCAAACTGTTTCTGAACCATCTTTAATAAAACTATTTCTTTTCGGCATATCCGAAAAGAAGAGGAAATCGGCCTTCTTCCCGCAGCGGGGCGTTTCGTGGGCCGCAGCCCCGCACGGGACATGCTCGGGTTCTTCCGCGAGGAGAGACAGAACAGTGGGGGACGTGGAGGACGAGGGAAAGCCGTACCCGAGAGGCCCTTTTCCGCTGAGGAAGGTTTTTGCGAGGAAGAAATGCTGCCGGGGAGAGCGGCCTCTCTCCCGTGCCCAGGCTGACGGCTCTGCCTACCCTGGGCCGGCCCCAGCGCCTTTGTTCGCCTTACCGAGGCTCTCCGGCTCCGATGGAGCCCCGCTGCCCCCCACCACCGGCCCGAACGGGGCCCCTATGGGCTCCGCGCCCGGCGGCAACCACCGGGGAGCCATCTCCCGCCTCCTCCGCCCTCTTCCTCCCCCTTTCTCTTCCGCTTGCAAACTCGCGGACATTGAGAGGGCATTTTTTCTTTCCCCCCCTACCGGACCCCCCAAAATAACAATTCGGAACACTTAAGGATTTGTAGCTAGCGGTGTTTTCTGTTCGATTCTGGGGGAAAAAAAAAAAAAAAAATTAAAAAATTGGGGGGTTGGTGGCACATCGTGCCTGGAGGAGCCCTCTCTGATGCTGCAGCCTTGTTTTCTTTTCATGAAAAAAAAAAAAAAATTCTCCACATTCTTCTTTTTCGGGCTCCTGACGTCTCCCCCGCAGCATCCCACCGGCCCCAGTGATGCTGTGGGAGCTCCGCACCGCTCGGGCCCGCAGGGCTGCGTCTTCCTGTGGCCTCAGCGTCGGGCTCCGCGGCACCGGGATTTCGAAGGCCAAGGCTGAAGCTCCCTTCGGGGGGCAGGAGAAAGCCCGGACGGGCCCGCAAATCTGGACCAGCTGCAAATGAGCCGCCCTCTCCTTTTCTAACGTTAGAAAGGAGCATTAAGAAAACAGCAGCCAGGATGCGGGCCACTGCTGCTTGCGGGGCGGAGCCGAACGCCGGCCTCTCGCCGCCGGTACCGGAGCCAGTGAGGGCCCGGTGTGCTCCTGGCCCGACACCGCCGGGAGCCCGGTGCCTGACTCCGGACCACGCTCGACCCGGCTCCGCTGTCCACCGCACCCTGCCCGCGGCCGGAGGAGCTCCGATCAAAGCCCTACGGCCCGCCGGACACACGGGCATCCTTGCGGAGGATAATGCGGACCTCGGCGGACCTGGTTGCGGATGCGCGGTGGAGCGGCGCTGCGCTGCAGGGCCGGCCCGGGCCCGGCATGGCTGAGGCAATCCTGCCATCTCCTGGACAAGGGCCGGCATAGGCGGCTTCCAGCTCCTGCCGGGCGCTGCTGAGCCGAAGCTGTGCGCTCATATGCGGAGCTGCCCGCGTCCTTCCGCTGCGGAAACGCGCGGGAGGGATTGCAGGGTGGTCAGCGAGGAGGGCGAGGCCGATCCGGTTGCCTGTTAAAAAATAAAAATAAAAAATAAAAAAAAAAAAAAAGAAAAAAGAGAGAGCGGAAAGGAATGTGTGAAAGCAGAGCCCCGGGCCGCACGGTGACATTTCCTGTGCAGACACCGGCGGCGGACACCGCGGGAGCGGCTGTGGCTGCCAACAACGAGCCCGGGGCGGCCGTGTGCTGCGCGGAGCCGTGCCCGCATCGGGCTGTGCGCGGTGCTTTCCCTGCCGACCTCAGCACAAAGCTCGCTGCCCTCCCGCTCGTCGGGATTTTTCTTTCCATATTTCTCGCAGCATTAATTAGCGGTTACAGATGAGCATTAATTAGAAGCTCTGTTTTCTCTAACCTCGTAAAAGTTAGTTTGAAGTGTCACCTTTCCGGTATCGGGGAACTCACAGCCGTTCCTCGTGTTTATTGCGAGGGGAAAAAAAAGAAAAAGAAAAGAAAAGGAAAAAAAACGGTCTTTAAGCACAGTGCGCTCCTTCTGTTTTCCCAGAGCCGACGATTGGAGTCAGCTCTTTCGCAAAAGGCGATCATGAAAAGAAGCGGTCACCTCGGCTCGTGGGGAGAAAAAAGGCAGAAAACAAATAAGTTAATAAGAGGGAGATGCAATTGGCAGACATAACTCAAACAATAAAAATTAAGGGCAGCGGTCAGTAATATCCTCCAGCGACGCTTGTGTGGTCCGTGTGCTCAGGGGAGAGCAATCGTTTCAACATTTCTTCCAGGGCAATGAAATTACTGCAGAATTCACCCCAATTTCCCATTAGACAGAAAGATGAATTTGATTAGGAAAACGTCAAGTGGGGCAGCCCCTCTGATCTCGGCGTGGAAATAAAATTGAGTTTAAAACTATGATTAAGAACTCAATAACACGGAAAATAAACCCTACCTGTTAACTGGGCTCGAGTTTTAATATCGAAGCCGAGAAGGTGACGAACTGAGAACTGAGGTTCGGCCCGAAGCCGAGGTCCGCTTGGACCCGGGGATCCATCCACTCGGGAAGGGCCGAGGTCAAGGGCCGAGGCTCCCGCAGCGGCCGCACAGCGCGGAGCCGCCTCGTAGCTCTCAGGGCTCCGGCCGCTGCCTGCCGGGCAGCTCCAGCCCTTGGCCTTGCAGTCTGCTGTTTTATGGGGATATCGCGTCTCTGGGTGAGACGAGGGGGCTCGGCTTGTCTCCGCAGGAAGCAGACTGTCTGCCACCCCTCGCGGTCTGGAAAGGACTCGAGCTGCCTCCCGCGAGGATGCGGTCGGATGGGTTTGGTTCGTACCCCTGAGCGGGGAGTAAAGTGGGAGAGACAGAGGGACAGCCGTGCTCTGGTGTGAGCTTTCAAAAAATGTCATATATACGATATAAAGATAATGATACATCCATACGCATACATGTATCTGTCTCACAATTTCTCTCTATATGTATCCATATCACCGTAAGGAATGATTATATTCTTAGAGGACGAAACCTGCTCGGCTGCAGCTCGGGAGGTGGCAGCGGGCTCCGAGCCCGGCGCTGGTGCGGCCCTGCCCGCCTCAGCCAGCCCGTGCCCTGCTGCGGGGTATCGGGGCGTTCTCCTCCGTGCAGTCTTTGGATGCTACTGGTTTGTTTTGAATCTCAGCGCTCTGCTCAAGGAATTCCTTCTTGCTCCCATTGTTATTCTCACTTAAGAATTCGATGAACAGGGGCCAGATTTAGAAGAGTCGTTTGAAAACGTGCCTAGCGTTGGAGCTAGGATGAAAAGTGGAAGGGTAAGAAGAGCAGGGTGCAAAGCTGGGTGCAAAGCTGGGAAAGCCTCCGAGACCACGGGTCATTAGTGCATCAGAAAGACAATCTCGCCAATAACAGATCAATGAATATTTTAATTGCAAGCGTATGCAGATGCATATCATGTTGCTCGCAATTAAAACAAATGCGTGTATAAAACGGGTAAAAGCCGCACTCCAAGCACACACGCAGCTGTGCCCCGTCGGCAAGGGTAGAGCCCATCCGTGCGTCCGGACGGCCACGGCTCCTGCCTCCGCGAAGAGCAGCGGGCACAGAGCTGTGGCCCCGTTCCGGACACCCCCACACCCGGAGCTCCGCGGCCGCTGCCCGCCCGCGGCTCTGCTCAGCGCCGGCAGAGGGTTTGTTTTCTCTGCATCTTTCCGCTAGCGCTACGGCTCTGCCAGCCAGTCCCAGGCACTTTTATAGAAGTGGAGACCATGTTTTCCCCTCCCCCTTACGAGTCCGGTATTTTCATATTTCAAGTGTTATCATAAGACTTTTTTAAACGGGGGGAAAGGAGGAAAAAAAAAAAAATAGGAAGAGGGGGGGGACACCGTGGCTCGGTGGCTGGAGGCGGTGCTGAAATTACCGGCTTTGAAGAACCTGTCTGCAAAGTTTCGTCCAATCGTTTTAGGCTTTCCGCTTATTCCCTGTTGTAACTAAATACTGCTGTAAGAACAGCTGAAGTCCTTTGTTGGAAATGTGTGATCGCAGTCTCTACAGATCTGGCTACGTTGGTTCTCTCTTGAACTTGCAATCTCCAGATTCCTTTTACTTTCCCAATTTGCGGGCTAATGGCAGTCAGTTGGCGGCTCTGCCCACCATTTCCTACCCCCGGAGCTCGATCCCGTGGACGTGCCCCAGTCCGTGCGCAGCCCAGCCGCAGGGCCACGCGTTCGGCGGCGCGGCGCAGCCGTACCTCCCCGGCTCCGTTCCAATCAGCATCAGCTCCAACAGCAACAAAGAGTGCCTGGAAGAAAACAATAAATATTACGCCCACGATGCGAGCTCCAAACAAGAGGAAAGATGCAGGCAGAGGCAATCTTTCGCAAATGACCCAACTATTACTCACGCAGCCAACTTAAAGCCCGCAAAGTATGACCACTCGAGCCTGCCGAGAAGCTTGCACGGCTCGGCCGCTCTTTTTGAAGTGAATTCCTGCACTTCCAGCCTAAAGGAGGACATCAAGAATTCGGTCAACTTGAACCTGACAGTTCAGCCCGCAGCAGTCCAGTCATGCCTCAGACCTTCAGTGCAGGATGGTATGCCTTAAATCTCTCGCTTTAGTTCGAGGCGACCTAGCGCTTCGTGCTTTCTAAGAGATGTCTGTAATTGTTTGTTG